TCTTGTTATTCTGAGGTGGCTTTTGGAAAACATAAGATAGGAGCTGGTTACCATGGAAACCAAAAGGCACTGGAAGTGGAATTAAGAGGCTGGGAGAAGAGAGGGACCAGAGCAAAGGTTCACAGACTTATTTGACCTACCACCTCCTTTTCAGGAAAAAAAAAATTACTCAGCACCCATATGGAAAGCTCCCTTCTTTAGGTAAAATCACAGTAAGCTTCACCCTGCCCCCAGCACCTGAAATGTCTGCTCTTAGACTGGGCTAATAATTCTGGGCTAGAGATTGAGTTTAGTTGCCAGTAGCCAGTGTATTCATCATGCCTAAGGAATGAGACCTCCATAAAAACCCGAAAAGAGGGAAGAGCTTCCAGGGGAGAGATGAACATTTCAAAGACTTGTTCGGGATGAGAGCATGGTGGTGTCACACCTTCTCCAGCGCTTCTCTTCCTACAGGTCGTTCCAGAAAGATTCCCTTTGTCATGAGTCCATGATCATGAGTAAACAGGTTTCTTGAATTCTCTGAGTCACTCCCACCAATTCATCGTAACTGGGGAGGGTGTCCTGGGAACCCATAATCTTCCCTCTTAAGCTGAGATGCGCCGGGCTCTGATGTAGAGCACGTTATACATGGAGTCTGACCTGTCTGCTGGTAGACAGTACCATGGAGTGAAGCTGAGCCTGAATTCTTAGACGCATCTGAGAAGCCTGTTGGTATGGGGAAGCTTCCATAGTGACAGTTGGGATTAGCTGCTGGGAGATCTGTAGAGCCTCTTGGACTATTGTCCCTGTACTCACAAATTTCTTTTTGGAGGGTGGGACATTTGAGTCATACCCGGTAGTGCTCAAGGCTTACTCCTGGCTCTGATCTTAGGGATCATTCCGGGTGGGGCTCCGGGGACCATTTGGGGTGTCAGGGATTTAACCCTAAGTGGCCACATGCAAGGCGAGCATCCTGCCTACTGCACTTTGCTCTCACTCCTTGTCTTGAGTTTTTATTTTCATTTTGTTCACTTTTCTCAACCTAGTCTTCATAAGTCTTGTTTTTCTTTTTCTTATTTTTGGGCCACACCTGGCAATGCTCAGGTACCTAGAAATCACCCCTATAGTGCTCAAGGGGACTATATAAGATGCCAGGGTCTGAACCCAGGTCAGCCTCATACAAAGCAATTGCCTTACCCACTGTACTGTCTGTCCAGCCCAAAACCCTTTTAAGTAGTGTGTTATTTTTTTCACCCCCAGAGATGGTCAGGAGTTACTCCTGGCTCTGTGCTCAGGGATCACTCTTGGCAGTGCTTTAGTGGAACATATGGGATTCTGGGAATGAAATCAGGCTGGCTGCATGCAAGACAAGTACCGTGCCCACTGTACTTTTCTCTTCTGTTAAATCTTATTGTGTTATGTTTGTCTGCCTCCTATTTTATTTTACTTTGCTTTATTCATAATGTGGGTTTAATCTTTGGTATTTTTTTTAATATTTGACTTCCACTAGCTTATATTTATTTTCTTCTATAGTTTTTTTTTTTTTTGGTTGGTTGACTTTGCATTTTGGTGCAAACTCAGTGCTTGGGGATTACACCCAGAATTTCCTCAGAGGACTTTGCTGTACCAGGCACCAAACTAGGGGCTAATGCATGCAGAACATTAACTCGGCCCAGTGAGCTCTCTCCAGCCTTCATTTCCTTCTGTTGTTTTGCTCTCATTTCTTCTGTCATAAAGTCTTATTTTATTTTTTTTTCTTTTTTTTTTTTATTTATTTATTGAATCACTGTGGGAAAGGTTACAAAGCTTTCAGGTTTATGTCTCAGTCATGCAAATATCAAACACATTTCCCTTTACCAATACTTATTTTTTACCATGAAGAACCCCAATAAAACCCCACCCCCCACCCCTCCCCGTCCCTGTGAGGCAGATGAATTCTAGTTAACACTCTATCTGCTTTGATTAGATTCATTGTTTCAATAAAAGATTCACCACTATTATTTAGAGTTTACCCCCCCCCCCAAATCAGACATGCTGAAAAAGCATTGTGAAGTGATTTGCTTTCTACGGCTGGGTTCAAGAATTAAATGTTGGTTTTGGATTTCTGCTCTTTTACCTATTGACCCTGGAAGTATTTCTACTGAAAGTCAGATAGTTAAGAAATTGGTTTCTGTGTTCTGGAGTCCTGGCCGTGCTGGAGAGCCGCTCGCGGGGGGCAACCGGTGGCCTCGGTAGGGCGTGAAGGGCGGAGCGAAACGCCCCCCTTCCCATGAGGTTTTAGTCGCCCCCACACTCCCGGCTCATACCTGCTGTCCACAAGGCTCCCATGTGGCCGCCATCTTTCTTTCCAGAGAGGAGAGGGCGAATGGGGCAACACCCTTTCCCCTCCGGCAGACTTGATGGCCTGGATCAACGCATAGTCCGTTCACTTTTCTGCTCCAAGCTGCTGGGTTCTGCATTAAGTCCTTGTGCTTCTGGGGCCATGGCCGTGCTGGAGAGCCGCTCGCGGGGGGCAACTGGTGACCTCGGTAGGGCGTGAAGGACGGACCAGAACGCCCCCCTTCCCATGAGGTTTTAGTCGCCCCCACACCCCCGGCTCATACCTGCTGTCCACAAGGCTCCCATGTGGCCGCCATCTTTCTTTCCAGAGGGAGGAGGGCGGAAGGGAGCAACACCCTTTCCCCTCTGGGCAGAAATGATTGCCTGGATTAACGCATAGTCCTTTCACTTTTTTGCTCCAAGCTGCTGGGTTCTGCATTAGGTCATTGTGCTTCTGGGGCTGTGGCCGTGCTGGAGAGCCGCTCGTGGGGGCAACTGGTGGCCTCGGTAGGGCGTGAAGGGCGGACCGAAACGCCCCCCTTCCCATGAGGTTTTAGTCGCCCCCACACTCCCGGCTCATACCTGCTGTCCACAAGGCTCCCATGTGGCCGCCATCTTTCTTTCCAGAGAGGAGAGGGCGAATGGGGCAATAAAGTCTTATTTTAAAGCATTTCATTAAGTGCTTTGAGTTCATAGTGACATGACAACATTTTTTCTGGAAAACATATGCAGACCTGACACTTGCTTTTCCTATTTGTTTCCTCCTTTTTCTTATAGACTCGGTAGATCTCATGCTTATTTTTTTTTCAATTAGTACTCACTACTTGAAGGTTCTTCCTCAGCCAGCAGGAAGCAACTGGAACAGTAAGCTAAGCTAGTAGTGAAGCTGCTTTGCCCCAGAGTTTGTGTGTGTGAGAAAGAGGGAAAGATGAGACAGAGAGACAGCTTGGTTAAGCCTGTGTGTTTCCACCTGGCAAGATAGTGCAGTAGGTAAGGCGCTTGCCTTGCATACAGCTGGTTTTGGCCATGACCCTGGTTCAGTCTCTGGCACCACACATATTCCTATAATCACCACAAGGGGTCACTCCTGGGCACTGCCTAATGTGGCCCGAACCCCTCCCCAAATGGCCTATATATTGTCCCACAGTAGTTAACATCCCACCAGTGATTCTCAGCTAACTGAGCAGTCAGTTCAGTTCAAGGGCCAGAAGATACTGTGCTGTTCCCTGCAGTGCCTGGGATACTCAAGTCACCCTGCAGTGTGAGGGCCTCCACAGGCAAACTGGGCAGTGCTCAGAGTCCCCCAGAGCAGCACCTGGCAATGCTTGGGGGACCATGGGATGCCGAGAATCAAATCAGGTCAACACATGCTAGGCACACGCTCTAACTGCTATATCCCAGCCCCAACAGGTAACATTTTAAAAGCATTTTATTATTCAGCCCTGCCTTGTTCTGATACTTCATGATGCCCGTTAGAATCTTAGATGTTCCTATCTGTTGTGCCCCTTAAACCTTCATTGTAGGACCTGTGAGATCACTCAGGGGTGTATATAGAAGGACCCACATTTTTAATCCCTGCCACCTCATTCCCTACACCTCCACCCCAGTACCACTGGGTGTAGCCCCGACGACCCCACACAGCCCATAGAGCCGAGCAACTTTGCATTTCAAGACCTAAGCATTGAGCTGTCTGACCCAGCTGCTGAGTATCATGGGAGTGCCTCCTAATCTCTCCACATACCTAAGAACAAACAAACCAAAAAAACTCCACTGTCAGCCAGGAAGATGGTTTTGCCAACTTTGTTGAGAAGGGAGGTCACAGCAGAAATTCAATCTCTGCATTTTTTCTGGGCTCACTGAATTTGCAAGGCCTCCTCTTTCATTGTGCCTTAGTTAAGGTTACATTGGAATCTTATCAAGATTGTTTCTTTTTCTCTTTCTTGTTTTTGGTTAATCTCAAGAATGAACAGAAGTCAGGTAATATGATATTTTAAAAACTATCTTAATATTGGTTTTGTTTTCAGGCCACAACCAGTGGTGCTCAGGGCTTACTCAAGAATTACTCCTGATTTTGCTCAGAGGACCATATGGGGTTCTGGGGATTAAACCCAACCCAGGTCATCTGCATGCAAGACAAAGGTGTACCTGCTGTACTATCTCTCCAACCACAGTTCCCTTATTATCTTCAGCTTTACGGTTTTTTTAAAAACTTATTTTAAAAGCAGGGCCCTTTTACTTGGCAAAAATTGGTACCCTGTGTGCTAATGAAGGAGAATGGTTTTAAAATTCTGTGCTTTCTCTGGTCATGATAAGCTCTCTGTCATGATTCAGTTAGCAAGTAATGGAAGCTAGATACAAATTCAAATCTGTCCAAATCCTTATGTCTTGAGTCTGCTGGCTGAAAAGACAGTACAGCAGATAAGGTGCTCTTAGCTTGTGTACAGCCAACCTGGTTCAATCCCCTGCACCACATATGGTCCCCTTAGCCCTGCCAGGAGTGACCCCTTAGTACAGATCCAGGAGTAAGCTCTGAGCACGGTCAGGTATGCCCCTTCACCCCTTCCCCTCTCCCACACACACACACACAAAAATGTTGAGTCTTCATGATAATTTTCTCTCTTAGAGTATAGAGATGTCTCTGTTTCTTAATTTTCTTTTTATGAGCATTTTTTCACTAACTAATTTTTATTTCCTGGTTTTAGTGTGACAAGTACAAGACTGGAGTTATTGATGGTCCTGCATGTAATAGCCTTTGTGTTACAGAAACTCTTTACTTTGGAAAATGTCTGTCCACCAAACCCAACAATCAGGTATGGACATTGTAAATAAACCTTTCATATGATAGTGTATTTTATTTATTTTTTAAAAATTTTATTTGCTTCTGGTTATTTTATCTAAGATTTTATTTTAAATTTTATTTTATTTTTATGAAGTAGTTCAGAATTGGGCTGCAGCGATAGCACAGCGGGTAGGGTGTTTGACTTGCATGTGACCGACCCAGCTGACTGGAGTTCCATTCCTCCGTCCCTCTCGAGAGCCCAGCAAGCTACCGAAAGTGTCTCACCCACACGGCAAAGCCTGGCAAGCTACCCGTGACATATTCGATATGCCAAACACAGTAATAACAAGTCTCACGATGTTACTGGGGATGAACAACGGGAGGACAGTGACAGCATGACAGTGACAGCTCAGAATATTTGATTACATTTAATATTTTAACACTAATCCCACCACCATTATCCCTTCCCACCACCATATCTTGGATGTTTCAATCTCGAACCCCAACCCCTGCCCCAAAGTAGAATGAAAATAATTTATTTTTTATTGTTTGTTGGGCTGGAGCTATAGCACAGCAGATAGGGCGTTTGCCTTGCACACAGCCAATGTGGCTGACCCGAGTTTGATTCCTTCGCCCCTCTCGGAGAGCTCAGCAAGCTACCGAGAGTATCTCGCCCGCACGACAAGCCTGGCAAGCTACCTGTGACATATTCTATATGCCAAACACAGTAACAATTGTCACAATGGAGACGTTACTGGGCCCGCTCGAGCAAATCGATGAACAACGGGAAGACAGTGACAGTGATGAATAAACCACTGAAAATGCTCGAAAAAACTTTCCTTAGAGGAGAATGTGTAAAGATGGTTGCATTTCACCTAGGGGCCACTAAGCCCTTCTATAAGAGATTACTAATACGTTGTTAAGGGTTGAGCCTTGTGTGCTTATATAGTATAAGATCTTTTTTAAAAGCTTTTTTAATAGAAACACCTTGAGATACACAGTTACCTCTCTCTCTCTCTCTTTCTCTCCCCCTCTCTCTCTCCCTCTCTCTCCCACCCTCCTCTCTCTCCCCAGCCCACCCCACTTCTAGGCATTATGGTTTGCAGTATAGGTCCTTATAGGTTATCATGCATATCCCTTTACCTACTTTCAGCATTCAATTCTTGTCCAGAGTGATCATTTCCAACTATCTTTGTCTTAGTGTTTCTTTCTCTATCCTAACTGCCCCCCTCTACTTGTGGCAAGCTTCCAACAGTGTACCAGTCCACCCAGCCCTTGTTCTTTTTTTTTTAATTTTTTAAATTTAATTTTCATTAATAATTGTCGCTGGAGCGATAGCACAGCGGGTAGGGCGTTCGCCTTACACGCGGCCAACATGGCCGACCCGAGTTCGATTCCTCCGCCCCTCTCGGAGAGCCCGGCAAGCTACCGAGAGTATTCGATATGCCAGACACAGTAACAACAAAGTCTCCAATGGAGACGTTACTGGGCCCGCTCGAATTTTCATTAGGTTGTTCACATTGATTACATTCAATATTTCAACACCAATCCCACGACCATTACACCTTTCCACCACCATTATTTTGAATTTTCCCACCATCACTCAAGCCTGCCTGCAACAGGCAGATGCTTGATAATTTATTTTCTATTGCTTGTTATGAATATCATGAGATGTCATGCGGCCACACGCTCTTGAAATTCTAAGATTGTATAAATAATTGGGTCCAGAGACATCTCTGTAGTGAGCTAATACATTCTGAGATTCATTTGTGAGTCTCAAAATGGCACCCAGAGGCAGTTTGTGGGCATGACAGCCAGGACCCCAGGGGTGGGGAGACGGGGAGGGATGGCCCATCCCCGCCCTGGTCCCAAGTACCTGCGCTTTTCTTTTAGAAGTTTGTGTCTGCCAGAGTTAATGCACAGGGTTTGTGTCTGTCAGGGTTAATGCACATTTATGTGCATTAATGGCCTCTGGGTCAAGGCCATTAATGCACATAAATGGCACACAGAGGCAGTTCTTGGGCTTGACAGTCAGGTCCCCGAAGGGGTGAGGAGATGGGAAAGGATGGCCCGTCCCTGCCACCATGTGCCGGCCCTTGTTTCTACTGTCCTTGGGTATTAGTCTCATTCTATGTTCTTTTTTAAAATATCCCGCAAATTAGTGCAATCAGTCTCTTTCTGTCCAGCTCTTTCTGACTCATTTCACTCAGCATGATACTTTCCATGTCCATCAATTTATAAGCAAATTTCATTACTTCATTTTTCCTTGTGGCTGTATAGTATTCTACTGTGTATATGTACCATAGAGAGAAATATGTATATATATATATATATATATATATGGAGAGCCCGGCAAGCTACTGAGAGTATCCCACCTGCCCGCCTGCACAGGAAGAGCCTGACAAGCTCCCCGTGTCGTATTCAATATGCCAAAAACAGTAACGATAACATCTCATTTCCCTGACCCAGAAAGAGCCTCCAATCATTGGGAAAGACGAGTAAGGAGAGGCTGCTAAAATCTCAGGGCTGGGAGGAATAGAGACATTACTGGTGCCTGCTAAGTAAATCGATGAACAGTGGGATGACAGTGATACAGACCATATTGTTTTCCAAAAAAGATGAACCAACCAGCATTCCCACCAATGAATGAGAGTACCATTCTCTCTGCATCCACACCAGCACTAGTTGTTCTTGTTCTTTTTGATGTGTGCCAGTCACATCATAGTGTGAATTGATATCTCACTGTTTTGATTTTCATCTCCCTGAGATTCGTGATGTAGAGCATTTTTACCCAATACCCATCTGACAAGGGGTTAATAGCAAAGATATTTAAGGCACTGGTGGAATTTTACAAAGAAAAAAAAATCCATTAAAAAAATGGGGAGAAGAAATGAATAGAAACTCCCTCAGAGAAGAAATACAAATGACAAGAAGGCACATGAAAAAATGATAGTGAATTCTAATTTTACTGGGAGTGAAAGCATTATTGGAAAGACTCACTGGAAAAGCATAACAGAGGACCACTTAGATGTGAGTGTTTTTGCATCCCACCCCTCTTCCTCCTCCTCCTCAGAGTGTGAGAATGATATGGATGAAGACTCAGGATGATCTACTTTTCATGTTTTTTTTCTAGATTTATTATAAGAATACAGTAGATAGTACATATAACATACAAATATGTTAGTTAACTGTCATTGGTAAGCTCAGGTCACCAACAGACTTCTTGTAGAGTTTTGAAGGGATATTATCATAGATTTTAAGGGGTCAGGCCCCTCTCCCCTGTGTTGTTCAGGGGTCAACTATTTTTCAATTCTGTATGCTTTGATTCACTCTTCCAACAGATGATCATTAACTTCCTATTCCCAGTATATTCCAGACATGGTTGCTGGGAATAAAATATTAAAATAGTTAAATCTATTTTCTTTATGGATCTTACATTACCCCAGAAGAGTGGGGACCACAAACAGTTGATAGTTGGTAAATAAATAGGCAAAATGACTGCAAAATGTGGTGTGTTCTATGGGGTATGTTACACCTTTCTATGGGGTATGTTACAGGGCAGATTGGTGGAGAGTTGGGAATCAGGAGTCTGGAGATGTGCTATAGAGGAGGCAATGAGGGAAGACCTTTCTAACATTTGGGTCCATATGTGAATGAAGAATTAAATTACAGACATCGGTGAAGGACAGTGTAAGCTAGGGCACAAAAGAACTATAGAGGGTTGGAGCAATAGTCCACTGGTAGGGCATTTGCTATTGGCTAGTCTTCAATCCCTGGAACCTTGTATGGTCCCCTGAGTTGTCAGAAGTGATCCCTGAGCATAGAGGCAGGAGTAAGTCCTTGGCTGCCAGGGCTCTGTTTGGGTGGGTGCAGGGCTCACCCACCCCTCCCCCACCTAGGGTGCCCCAGACAGCGCAACCTTGGTCCAAAGTGGTCTGGAAGAATTTCTGCAACTTTTTGAATCTCTTTTGAGATTTATTTATGAGTCTCTGGGTATGGTCAGTGAATGAGCTTATTTGGTGCTGGAGGTAGTTTATGGCCCAGTAATAATAACTTTTAAAGTAGTGTTTAGTAAATCCCAAACAGAGGAACAGAGCCACAGCAGCAGAAAGCCTCCACACTCCATAATTGCCACCATGCTTCTGGTTGGATCCCATGGCTTGGAACAAGCATCATCAGAAATTAGCCTGTTGAAAAACTCAGATGTGGGTTTTGTGACTGAAATCTTCAGACTTACACGGAGTCAGGGATGGGCTACCTCTCCCATCTTCCTGTACTTCCAAAAGTCCTGGCAGTCACACACATGCCCCAAAGCCACTACCCAGTTAAAAACTTAACTCCAGCTATACCACCGCATTAAAAATTTTGGACTTCTTGGAGCACGTGGCCAAAAATGCAGCTGTACAACATCTCAAACTCTGTAACACTGGTAAACCAGGAGTAGCATACCAGATTGGATGAGATATAATATAGAAGACAACCAGTCTCATTTAACAAAATATAAACACAGAAGGCTTAACCAAGACAGTATCTTGGTAATCTCTCATACAAGGGTATAATGGTTCATGGTGAGATACAATAATTTTCACTAACGTTCTTCTAAGGAAACATATTTTGATCATTCTTTTAGCAAATTATTTATAATGAGAAATATAAGATAAGTTATTGAGGGCGTACTGTGGGGGCAGGCTTAAGGGGTGGTTAGGAAAATTGGAGATAATGAGAGTGGGAAGGTGCAATTGGTGTTGGTATGTTGAATGTCTGTAACAAATCATCAAGAGCAACTTTGTGTTTATAGTTTATATACATTTTATATAATCAGTGTTTATATAAAATGTAAGGGGAAATAAAATCGGAAAATTAATAAAGTAATATTTAATTTGACAGTATTAATTATCGTTAAGGTGTTTCTAAGGGGCTGGGACAGAGTACAGTGTTTGGGGTGTATTACTGACCAGTGCCCTAGCCAGGTTTGATTCCTGGACACTACATGGTCCTCCAAACATCTCTGGGTATGAGCCTGGGAAGCCCCAGAGCACACCCAGGGTGGCCCAAGTACCCCAGCACTTGCCGAGAATTTCCAGGGGCCCAGACCGCCTAACTACCACCTAAGAGCACCCTCACCCCCCACATCTGTCGCCCCCCAAAAATGAGGATTTCTGAAAAAAAAAAAAAGATCAACATTCAAGTGTGTCTGCTACATGCTCAGTACTGTGCTAGGGAGAGCCCATCAGAGTAAGACAGGCAAAACCATAGACTTAATGTGCCATGTTTTTCATGTGAGAGGAGACAATCTAGCTTTGCATCTTAAGGGACTAGAAAAAAACTGAAAGGAACAAATTAAAACCAAAGTTATCAGAAGGAAACAACGCAGATTATAATACAGATAAATAGAAAATACGAAGACAATGTTTATGAGAAATGGTCTCGTTCCTGATGTTCCATTCACTCTCAACGGGACAAACATCTCCGAATGCACCAGTTATGTGTACTTAGGTTGAGAAGTCAACATGACGGATGAACTGGCACCTGAGTTGTGCAGGAGGAAGAAAGTGGTTTGGAACGCCTTCAAGAGCGTTGAAGAAATAGCTAAGAGGACGAAGAACCTCCGACTCTGGGCACATCTCTTTGATTCCACTGTTCTTTCTGCATTAACATATGCCTCAGAGACCTGGGCCCTATGCAAACAGGATGAGAACTCTATTCAGGTCTCCCAAAGAGGAATCAAAAGAGCTATGCTTGGAGTATCACGTTTCACTCAAATGAGAGAAAGAATCCGGAGTTCCAACCTGACCTCCTTCAACGATCAAGAATCAGGGACTCTCCTTTGCCAAGGCGTTGAAAATCAAATGGACTGGGCACATAATGAGATTTGGAGATGACCACTGGACTAGAGCTATTACCAACTGGATTCCATGGGACGTCAAAGGACCGCGTGGCCGCCCACCTACAAAATGGTCAGACTTCTTCGTCAAGACCCTGAACGATCGGTTTGAGGCTCTTCGTGTTCCTAGAACAAACAGACGCCATTGGCTACACTAGCATGCCACAGGGACGAATGGAGACATTACTGGCCCCCACTTGAGCAAATTGATGATTAACGGGAATTCACGTGATATTATACCACATAACAGAACAAAGTTTTAAAAAAGTCCAAGAGGATACTCTTATTAGAAGAATTATACTTTTTTTTTCTCTTTGGGTCACACCCGGCAATGCTCAGGGATTACTCCTGGCTCATGCACTCAGGAATTGCTCCTGGTGGTGCTTGGGGGACCATATGGGATGCTGGGAATCGAACCTGTGTCGGCCATGTTGGCTGCATGCAAGGCAGACGCCCTACCCACTGTGCTCTCTCCAGCCCCAGAATTATATTTTTCGATTATACTTAACTGTACACCTCAATTGTGCTACAATGGGAAGGGCACTTACCTTGCATGCAGATGGCCTGGGTTTCTTCCCCAGTATTCCATATGTTTCCCTATGTACTGCCAGAAGTGATTACTGAGTGCAGAGCCAGGAGTAACTACTGGATAACCTAAATGTTGTCCCCAAACATACAAAAATTGTACTTAAAAAATTTAGTATGCTTTCGTAACAAAAAAAAAAAACACTAAATTAGGAATAGATGACAACTACATTAAAATAACAAGACTCATTTTTGGGGGGGACAAACCCAAAACCAAATCCTACTCAGTGATGAAAGGCAAAAGTTTTCCACTCAGGTCAATAACATGGTAAATATGCTCACTCTCACAGCTTCTATTAAACAGAATATGGGAAACATTAGCCTAATCACTTAGATAAGGAAAAGAAATAATTCTGACAACATTTAGATTGATCAAACAAATTCAAATACACAGATAAAAGGCATCCAGAAGGAAAAGAAAGAAGTAAAAATAAATCTGTATTCATAAATTTTAGGTACTTAGAAATACCTAAAGATTCCATAAGAAAATTGCTAGGGCTGAAAAATGAATTTATCAAAATAATAGGAAACAGTTCTGTTATATGCAGTATCAGTTTTATTTGTAACACAAAAACTAAAAAAAAAACATTCAATTTATAAAAGCATTAAATGAAGAAAATATGTAGGGATTAACCAAGGAGTTGAAAAACTTGTGCAATGTCTGGTGGAGGGATGGGTATTTGATCATTGTATAATTGAAACCCAAGCACAAAAATTTGTAAGTCTACAACTGTACCTCATGGTATCTCACTAATAAAAATTTAAAATAAAAAAAATGTGCAATGAAATCTTCAACACATTGCTGAAAGAGGGCTGGAGAGATAATATAGACATAAGGCACTTTCCTCACATGAAAGTTTGAATCCCAGACACCACAAATGGTTCCATGAGTATCTCAAGGGGCCTCTCCTAAGCATGTGCCAGGAATAGTCCCTGAGCACCACAAGGAATGGACAAAGAAAAAAAAAATGTGTGTGTCTATCTGTGTGTGTGTGTGTGTGTTAAAACAGACATTCTTTCCATGCTAAAATTTTAAGGAAAAATAAAAACACTGAGATATGAAATTTGCAGTTCAAAAAAACTCAATGATTTGTTGTTTGTGTGGTTTTCTTAAAGAGAAGGATATTAAAATATATAGTGGTAGATTAGTTTTATACTCACTTTATAGTCTAATTTGTCTTTCTTTTTTCACGTAGATGTATTTAGGGATTTGGGATAATCTGCCAGGTGTTGTGAAATGTCAGATGGAACAAGCACTTCATCTTGATTTTGGAACAGAATTGGAACCACGGAAGGAAATAGTTTTATTTGATAAGCCAACAAGGGGAACAACTGTTCAAAAATTCAAAGAAATGGTCTACAGTCTCTTTAAAGTGAGTATATGCATTTGCAGGTCATTGGTGTTAAACAGTGCTGTACTCTTCTGGAAGAGTTGGTACGTCCTCAAACTAAGACATGAAAATGTTCTCTTCTTTACTTTCATCAGGGATTCTAGCTTAAAGAAATTATTCAAAGAGAAGGAAAATGTGTGTGGAGGATGTTTTCCTCAGCATGACTTATAAAAACTAAATATATCCGCATATGAAAAGGAAATGAAAGAAATGAGCTGAGATATAGAGTTGTACCTCAGAATCTGCAGGGGATTGATTGGTTCCGAGACCTCCTGTGGCTATCAAAATTCTACACTCAAATCCCTTATATAAAATGGCATGATAGTACAGCAGATAGGGCATTTGCCTTGCATGTGGCCAACCTGGGTTCAATCCCTGGCATCCCATATGGTTCCCCCAAGCACCACCAGGAGTAATTCCTGAGTTCAGAGCCAGGAATAACCACTGAGTATCACTAGGTGTCACCCCAAAACAAACAAACAAACAAACAAAAGGCATGATGATTGTGTATAACTTATGCAGATCATCCTCCTTTCTGGGGGGGAGGTGGCACAGTTTGGGCACCGCCTGACAATGCTGGGGAACCATATGGGATGCAGGGAATCAAACCCAAATTGACTACATGCAAGGCAAATGCCCTACCCACTGTACTGTAAGGACTTTGGCCCTTCTCACATATTTTAAATTAGCTCTTTCGATTACTCTAAATAGCTAATACAGCATAAATGCTATCTAAGTATTTCTTACACTGTATTGTTTAGTGAATGATGTCAAGGAAAAATGTCTGTTTATGTTCAGGACAGACACAAACTTTGTAAATGTTGAATGTATGGATGGATATGGAAGCCATGGATAAGAAGGGCCAACTGCAGTTTGACATACCAAAACTATCTTTTTTTTTTTCTTTTTTTGGGTCACACCCAGCGATGCTCAGGGGTTACTCCTGGCTTTGCACTCAGGAATTAGTCCTGGTGGTGTTTGGAGGACCATATGGGATGCTGGGGATTGAACCCAGGTTGGCCACGTCCAAGGCAAATGCTGTACCTGCTGTGCTATTGCTCCGGCCCCAAACTATCTTTTTTAAAAAATGTAAATAATTTACAATTAGCATCCCCTAATTGTAAATTTTGTTATTTGTTTTTGATTTGGGGCCACACCCAGCGGTGCTCAGGACTTACTCATGGCTCTATACTCAAGGATCACTCCTGGTGGGGCTCTGGGGACCATATAGGGTGTCAGGGGATCAAACCCAGGTCAGCCACGTGCCAGGCAAGTGCCCTACCCATTCTACTATTGCTCTGGCCCTATATTTTTTTAATTCAAAGAAATACTCATACAGTTCAGAGAAATAGTTCAGTGGGCAGAGCATTTGCCGGGCATGTGGCCGACCTGGGTTTGGTCTCTGGCACCCCATATATCCCCTAAGCACAGGGCCAGAAATAAGTTCTGAGCACTGCCAGGTGTGACCCTAAAACAAAAACAAAAAAAGAATATTCATACAAAGATTATTTAGAAATATTAGAACCGGAGAAATAGCTGAAGGGCAATAGAGCACATGTATAGTGAGCAGGAGGCAGTTGTCTCCTTCACCACATGCTCCCTGAGGTCTGTGCTGGGATTGACACCTGAGCACTGCTGGGTGTGGCCCTCAGGAGGGAAAACAATAGAGAGGAGAAAAGAAAAATATTAAAGGATGGAAAAGTTGTCATGCAGGGAAGGGGGGAATCTCTTTTATTACATATTGAACTCAAAAGCTATATTTTAATAGCTTACATTTTTAAATTATTTTATCCCAAAGAACTTACATAGGAAAATACCTTTATTTTTTTGGTTTTGGAGCCACACACGACAATGCTCAGGGCTTACTCCTGGTTCTGAGCTCAGGAATTACTCCTGGAAGTTCTTGGGGGACCATATGGGATGCCAAGGATTGAACCCCCTGGGTAGACCATGTGCAAGATAACCATCCTACCCACTATACTATCAGTCTGGCCCCAATACCTTTTTTTTTTTTTAATTTTTAAAAAAATTTTTATTTATTTATTTTTAATTTTTATTAGTGAAACACCATGAGGTACAGTTGTAGACTTACAGATTTTTGTGCTTGGGTTTCAGTTATACAATGATCGAGTACCCATCCCTCCACCAGTGCCCATTCTAAAATATGGAACGCTTCACGAATTTGCATGTCATCCTTGCTCAGGGACCATGCTAATCTTCTCTGTATCATTCCAGTTTTAGTATATGTGCTGCCAAAGTGAGCACTGGCCCCAATACCTTTAAAGGGAAATTTAAAAAATACTTTAAAATTATTTTTTAATAGATGTGTTATATATGTTTGAAGGGCACATTTTCACTCTTCAAAACACATGATGGGAGCCAAAGAGAGAGAGAGAGAGACAGAGACAGAGACAGAGACAGAGAAAGAGACAGAGAGACAGAGACAAAGAAAGTACAGGGGTTAAGGTACTAGCCTTGCACGGATCCTGGTTCAGTCCCGGGTACTGCCACAAGTGATCCCTGAGCACTGCCAGAAGTGATTCTTGAACACAGAGCCAGGAGTAAGGCCTGAGCAAAATCAGGTATGTTCCTTAAGCCAACCAAAGAAATTCCACACAGTGATACCCCACTCTTTCCCTCCAGGTCCTGGTAACTAAAAATATTAAAAATCAAAGACTAAATTGTTAAGAAAGGAGAAAATAACTTTCAGTTGACTTTATGTACTTTGGATAGTTTATCATGCTATTATGCAAGTAAATGAATATGACAAATACTAGGATCTTATCATACCGTATCTATAGGACCAAAGGGGTACAGAAGTTTAGGGTAGCCACATCTTTGGACCCTACCCTACTGAGTCATGCTCAGGACTAACTCCTGGCAGTGTTCATGGTACCTTGTAGTACAGGTATCAAACTACAGCCTCCACCTTGCAAAGCCTGTGTTTTAGCCCTTTGAGCTATTTCACCAGCCCCGAAGTTGGCTTTTTTATGGTGGGGGAGAGGGGGTGGGCACACCTTGTGGTGCTCAGTGATCTACCATATGAAGTGCCAGGGATGGAACTCAGGGCAGTCGTGCTCAAGGCAACTATATTTTCTCTAGCCCAGCTGGGTTGTTTTTTTTTTTCCTTGTTTTCAATTTTATTTTTATAAACTTGTTCACAATAATTTATTACATTAAGTATTCCATCATCAATCCCATCACCATTACACCTTCCCACCACCATTATTTCAAATTTTTCCCACTATCACCCACGCCTACCCCAATAGCAGCCCCTCAATAATTTTGTATTGCTTGTTATAAAAACCTGCTAAAGATGATCAGAATTTCCTTAGAAGAAAGAGTGTGATTGTTGTATCTCAGCCTGGAGCCATTAAGCCCTTGTATAAGAGATTTACCAACATGCTGTTATAGGTTGAGCCTTGTGTGCTTGTGTCTGTACTTTTTTTAATCAAAATTAGTTACCTTCTGCTTTACACCCCATCCAATGTGGTGGGCTACTCCTGGTACATCAGTGGTGTGGAGTATGAGATGTCACAGCCGCATCCTCCAGAAATTCTAAAATTTTAAATAGGTTGATACAGCTGTAGTTAAGTTTATTTATTTGTGAAATAAACATTTTATTTGGAGGATTTTTAATTTTTTTTTTTTTTTTTTTTTTTTTTTTTTGCTTCTTGGGTCACACCCAGCGATGCACAGGGGTTACTCCTGGCTCTGCATTTAGGATGCTGGGAATTGAACCCAGGTCAGCCGCGTGCAAGGCAAATGCCTTACCCGATGTGCTATCACTCCAGCCCCTGTTTAAGTGTAATTAGCATCAGAAATACTTGGAGATTCAATAGCATTATTACATAATTCCCATAAAGAATATTAGTATGTTAGACAAGAATCTTATTGTATAATTAGTCTAATTCCTATCTTTACAGGCAAAATTGGGGGACCAAGGAAACCTCTCTGAATTGGTTAATCTCATCTTGACTGTAGCTGATGGGGACAAAGATGGACAGGTTTCCCTGGGAGAGGCCAAGTCTGCATGGGCACTTCTTCAGTTGAATGAGTTTCTCCTCATGGTGATACTTCAAGACAAAGAACATACCCCCAAATTGATGGGATTTTGTGGTGACCTCTATGTCATGGAAAGTGTTGAACATACCTCTCTTTACGGAATTAGCCTTCCGTGGGTCATTGAACTTTTTATTCCCTCTGGGTTCAGAAGAAGCATGGATCAGTTATTCACACCATCATGGCCTAGGAAGGCTAAAATAGCCATAGGACTTCTAGAATTTGTGGAAGATGTTTTCCACGGCCCTTATGGAAACTTCCTCATGTGTGATACGAGTGCCAAAAATCTAGGATATAATGATAAGTATGATCTGAAAATGGTGGACATGAGAAAAATTGTGCCAGAGACAAACCTTAAAGAACTTATAAAGGATCGTCACTGTGAGTCTGACTTGGACTGTGTCTATGGCACAGATTGTCGAACTAGCTGTGATCAGAGTACAATGAAGTGTACTTCAGAAGTGATACAACCAAACTTGGCAAAAGCCTGTCAGTTACTCAAAGACTATTTACTGCGTGGTGCTCCTAGTGAAATCCGTGAAGAATTAGAAAAGCAGCTTTATTCTTGTATTGCTCTCAAGGTCACAGCAAATCAAATGGAAATGGAACATTCTTTGATACTAAATAACCTGAAAACATTGCTATGGAAGAAAATTTCCTACACAAATGACTCTTGATTTGGACATTGTGGCCATTGTAGGAACCAACTACTTCTGAAGTTTTGAGCGTTAAGAAGGCTTCTAATTAAAATCCCTGCCAAAACTCCACTTCCCTGGATCCAAGAAGCCATCATCTTCAAATACATGTTGATTGCTCGGAAACAGCAGGTGGTATAGGTTTAACAGGCTCCAAGGTGTCCTTCCTTCCCCTTTAGAATCCCGGTACATTTCCCAACACATTTCACTGTGTAACTACTTTGACTTAAAATGCTGTGAAGTCTCATTGCATAAACATTGAACGTGAGTATTTTGTAATTATGTCAGCCAAAATACCAGTGCTGGAAATTGTTTGCATCAAAGCTGCTGTTAAAGAAAAATTTATACATAAATTTACTAATGTCTTAGCATGGTAAAGTTTGCACATTAACAAAAATCTAAGCCTGCAAAGCAGGTAAATTAAAATTACCCCTTTATAAACAAACGTTGGGTTAAAATGCTTGTTCTTTGCTTAAGATTTAGAATACAGTTTGGCGAGTGGGGGGGGAGGGGCACAGACCCTCAGGCGCTCAGTAACCACTCCTGGTGGATGCTCAGGGAGCCATGTGAGGTGCTGGGGACCAAACACTGGTGGTGCCTTTCTCATCCCCCTTAAGTGCACATTTTATTTCATTTAGATATGCTTAAAATTATAAGAAAACAACATATATGGCTATTTTTAATTGCCAATTTCAGAGGTTAATTTGAACCTACTTTGAAGGATCACCCTTAATTCAATGGGTTCAACCACTGGAGTCCTCAAACCATTACCTTGAGTAGCATAACAAGAGGCAAGTTATTTATGGACCCCAAAACAAACCTATTTTACTCTTGCATTTAATTGGAGCTATGGTAGTAGTCGGTAGAATCCTGGAATCAGGACTTCTTTGGGTAGTAAATTTTCAATTTTAACAGTATTTCCTGCTGGCCAAAGGGCTATGCTTCTTGAGGCACATAAATGCTTTAACATTTTTTCTCTGCATATGTGAATGATTTCCAGTCCCCAATGCACCCCCCTGCCCAATTAAATGGTAGGACTTTTTCTTCCCACTAATCCTCTGGTTGCATGAATAGTTGATGTATTTCCTGGTCGGCATTTGGTCTTGTCTGCCAAATTTAAGGAAAGCTGTATGCCATCAAGTTGAGGAAAAGCTTGACAATCAACTGTAAACCTTGAGCCAAATGTTACTTTATTAAAAAGATGGCACCTGTTTCCTGAGAGAAAAAAAGGCGCCAACAACTCCCATTTTATTATTTCAGTCTTCCCCCTGTAGTTTCATTAACAAGAGCTTTACAACACAGAAATCACTGCTTGGTCGATAGATTTATTTACTGTCTTTGCAAAATCTCCATAAAAAAATCATGGTTGATTTTAACTCTCAGCAGCCCGCTCCTGAGCTCTGAGGAAGCTTGCTTTCTTCTGGGCTACCCGATCTTTCTTCTGGGCAAGAGACATTTTGGGACGGTTCCACCTACAAGAGATAATTTAACTTTAAAACCTTGACCGAAAGTGAGCAGAGAATTTACTACTTTTATTTAAAAAGGAAAGATTATAATTAGATAAGAGATCAAGTAATCAAATTTCTGCAATATTTTACTTATGTATAATCTTAAGATAATCTTTCCTGACCCAACTTTTGTAATACCATCCTGTACCACATAGGGCCAAAATTAACACATGGTAGTCTGCAATGCCTAGCTTTCTACTTTATTCTCTCTCTTAACAAGTCATCTAAAAAGTAGAGTATCTTTGCAGTTACCTTGTACAAGGATAGAATAAGCAACCTCAGTAGGATCTGAAGTTAATCCACTTCTATCACTGCAATTACTTTAGCAAACCTGGTTCCCCTCACATCTGCAACATCATGCAGAGTTAGTGATCGAGTTTGCACAACTTCAGTAGAGTCCAAGAGTAACAAGGCAGGAGATTCCCCTCTTCTTTCTCTTAGTAAGACAACCATAAAACACATACCTCTTCTTTTTAACTTCTCTCTTAGGTTTCTTCTCATAAACAGGATTGGCCCGTATAGCCACATGAGCTTTCTTATACATATTCTCCATCTGAAACAAACAAACAGTACTTGGTTTTATTTCATATGCCCTATACAGTGATACTGCCATACTCTAATTACTTTAGTGTGTCCTTCCTAAGCAAACTGTCAAAGGAGCTAAACTAGCCCAGTACTGCTTAAGGTCTGAAAGATAGGACACATCGTGGCTTGGGTGATTAGCACTTTCAGTGCATATGAGGCCCCTAAGTGCCATCCCTTGCACTGTATGGCCTCAAAATATAGACACAGCCCACCATACAAAATGCTACCTATCTTTTCCTTAGAAACACCAAATTTTTATCATTGCCAATATTTACTGACAAAAACCAACCTTTTAAATTGATTTGGTGGGAATATGCCAGAGTTCATGCACCAGAGAGTAAGGAAATTGCTCTACCACTAAACCCATATCCTGGTCTCAAGTTCAGAGCAAATTAATTTCAACAGAAACATACTTGACGCTCTTTTTAAAATATCATGTACTTAAATTCTTTCACAAGAATTTACATGCCAAACAAAGCACTTTTAAAAATAAAGACTAAAATGGGGCCAACAAGCAATGGTCAAACTCATTTCTGTCTTTCCACACACAATTACATATTCAAATTGGCAGGTATTTCATAGGTCTCTTAAAGCTATCTCCACACAACGTAAGTCTCCCCAATATCTACTACTACTGCCATCACCACCACTCACAAAAGGCCTATGGAACTAGATTTAAGCCTAGATTTTTCTAGATAACTATTTGGAAACTTGCTCAAAAATTCATTTAAGAAATAATGCAAACATTAAAGCACCACAGCAACTGTGCAGTTTCAATCTCCACCCCACCCAAAGACTCGATACTACAGAAGAGCAAGCAACTATAAAAACACCCTGGTGCGCAATATCACAATTTAGTAACACCACCTTCCTTACAGAACGAGCCCAAGCAATCTCCATCGCTAGAATTATTCGATGTGAAGAACTGGAATCGTTATATGCAAAGAAAAGCCTTCAACTTCATTTTAAACTCAGCACTAGCATTCTCACTGCGTTCATGTAGTCTTGAGGGAGGGGGTGACAACAAATTTTCTTTCAAGACTTAACTTTAGGACTAAGGATTTTCCAACATTAACAAATGTGGTTTCCTCCCCTTGACTTATGCACAGAACTAGTGACAGAATAGTAATTTTCTGTGTGCTCAAAGTCCAGAATATAACTCTTATTTAAGGAACAACTCTTCCAGATTAATAACTAATACCTCCCCCCACCTGGTCAATTGTAACTTTGACAGAGGAATGCAATCTTTAAAAATAGTCAAATAAGTAAAACCCACCACCAGCTTTAGATTCAGATGCTATAGAAACCGGCTGCACTGCTAGCATCATACTCCTAAAAGCACACTAACAAATGAACTTATTACAATCATACCTAACTTTTAACCTACACGTGTCCCAACATCCCAAGTTCATGTTACATCAGTTTCTAAACTCATGTCACATTCAAACTTTTAACTGTGAAAATCTGAAATAAGCTATTGGCACCTAATGTGCCCACCAATAACAAGTAGTAAAACCAACAGACACTTTAAAAATTAAAATTTTTACCATATCTGGAGTTATCTTGTTCTTTATGTACTGAGAAAACTGTTTCTTGTAGGCATCTTCATCTTCTTCCATTAGGTAACGCATATACTCTGCAACGTTCTGCCCCATAATGTGTTTCCGATGCACTTCAGCGTTGAATTCCTTACTTTCCGAGTCATAGCCAGGGAATCGTTTGGTACTAAAATGTAGTTTTTCATATTTTAGTACTAATAATTTGAAATGAGCTCACAAGCAGGAACTCCCAGTAGCTGCCATCAGTCCCGTCTTGAAACAATTAATTGCATCATTATGCAACCGAAGGACCAACTACCGACTTGCTCAGTTAGTGGGAAATCATCATTCAGCAGCTAATACAGGAATTCCCAGATAGAAAAGAAAGTCACTAGCACTTCATGAGTTACGTAAAATAGGCCCTGTCATTGTCCTCCTGTTCATCAGTACCACTAAGGCACAAGTCTCACAACAAATTGTGAGACTTGGTGTTACTGGTCTTGGCATATTGAACACATCAAGCTTGCCAAGCTTCGCCATGCGGGCGAGATACTCTCAGTAGCTTGCTGGGCTCTCCAAGAGGGGTGGAGGAATTGAACCCGGGCATACACATAAAATATTTACTGTCAATAAATCTGGAGAAATGTATGCAACCTCCATAATTGATTTACACAACTCCACATGGGGCTACAACCCAGTTTAAGCAGCCAAAGCAGCTTACATTTCTAGGAGGTACTGAGTCATTTCTCTTCTGAAAGTGGGGGCAAATAAATCTGGCTGGCTTCCATTCAAAATACAAAAAAAAAAAAAAACCCAAAAATACCAAAACAAGAACCAATAGCCAGAAACACATCTTTGATCATATCTGATTCAAAAATCTGCCACCAAATTTATCAGAAACAGGTTAGTACCAGATTCCAGGGAAAAAAGAAAAAAAAAAGCCTTAAATTCCTTATTACCTGTGAGGAATAGACAAGCCTCCATCCGCAGCTCCTTTCAGGGCCCCAAAGACTTTGTTTCCAGTAGTAGTTCTGGCAAGTCCTGCATCCAAATAGCAGGTGAAGGCGCCAGGTTGTCCATCAATGCTTTCCACATTATACTCATCTCCGGTGACCTCCACTTGGCCTTTATAAATTTTGTCCATGCCAAATCTATTGAGAAGCTATTGACAAAGAAGACAACCTAAATATTGTCTGAATATATCTGGACAACTCCAAACTATGTCACAACTTTAATGAATTTTCCTTCCAATACACTAATCTTTTCCCCAATTTATTGTGTTTTTGTTTGTTTTGGGTCCTACCTGGCCATGCACATGGTTTACTACTGGCTCTGCACTTAAGAAATTACTCCTGGCGATGCTCAGGGGACCATATGGGATGCTGGAAATCGAACCCAGGTCAGCCATGTGCAAGGCAAATGCCCTACCCGCTGTGCTATCGCTCCACCCCCCCACCAATTTACTTTTAAATATAAGCTTAAGGTGGGGAAAACAACACAGAAAGGCAAGATGCATGTCCTGCATTGGCCCACCCAGCCTTGATAATGTCCCAGGCAAGGCCCAAGCAATGACACATCTCATCGAACACTGACCACAAGCCACGTGTTGCCAGTAGTGGCCCCTGCGCCCTCCTCAAGTATTGCTTGGGAGGCCCGTAAAGGTATCAACTTTTTTTGGGATTTGAGTCCACCTGGCTCAGGGGTAGTTACTCCTGATTGTGCACTCAGTAATCCTCGGGGCAATGCTCAGGGGGCCATGGGAAAACACCCTACCCAAGGTACTATCATAATGGTCCCAAGGTATCAACTTTTACAGAATCATTCCCAGCAAGCTGAAGGGGACCACGTGTTGCCAAGGAATGCGCCCGGCTCAGCCAAGTGCAATGCAAGTACCCTACCCCATTACGCTAATCTGAAATAAGATGTGTATGTGAAATACTTTACAATAAAAACTTTTTGTAAAGAAATTTTAAGATATTCATCTGAGACCCCCCCCCCCCCATTTTCCCAACACCTGGTGTTGCTAAGGGGTTATTCCTGGAGGTTCATGAGGGGCCACATGGGATGCTGGGGATCGAACCTGGTCTCTGGTAGGCAAGGCAAGCACCCTACCCACTGTATTATTGGTCCAGCCCCTACAATGAGTTTTTTAAAGCTTCAGAATCTTTACACATCCACATGTAGCAACTAGTATGTATAACACTTTGATACTGCTAATATCTGAAAGGAGTTAATCTCCACATTTCTTCAATCGTATTTGGCTACACCACAGTAACCAAATATTAAATAATCCCGTGTAAAACCTTAGGATACTGCAAGAAAAGATTCTGTGGCTCTACTCTATGATTTTAAACATGGTCACTAGTAGTTATCAGTTAGCTACAGTTTCACGAAAAGCAGTTTAGAAAGGCACTGACAATGGTCCCCCCAACTCCACCCACATATGTGGAAAATGAAGATGTAGGTCTGAGCAATAAGTTGAACAATCTGACTGCAAAACAAGTATAATCTAGAAAACAAAGGCCAAAATCTTGTTTTCATCTTCAGCATTATTCCAGAAAATGTCTCCTACTAGCAAAGATTTGCTGGAGCGGGCCCAGTAACGTCTCCATGATGAGACTTGTTTCTGTTTGGCATACCGAATACAAATCGAACAACGGGAGGACAGTGCTACTAGCAAAGATAAAACAAAAATGAAATCCCCATTAATGTCTGACACCGCCCCCCCCCCCGCCATGGTCAAAAGACACGGCGTCTTAAACTATCCTAAGTTTCCAGACTACATTTTAAATGCTCACTGACAGGTAGAAGACCTACACTTCTGTGCAGTAAGGGTTTGTGCACACCATCAAGGGAGTCAGCAAGTAGCCATTGAAATTAGAAAGTTCCAGAATGTAGATAGGGTAGGGGTTAAGGCACTTGCACTGCAGAGGGGTTCCAGGCTCAATCCTCTCTATAGCATCACCAGGAGTGATCCAAGCAGTATAGCCCAAAACCTCCAACTCCCTCCTCCCAAGGTTCAGTTCCAAATAGCAACTGCCTCAATGTAACTATCCCACAGTATAGATACCCACACACTGCTGAAAACTCTTATATTCTAGATATATCCAACAAACAGGATAGAAAATACTATCCTGTTTCCCCAGATTATCAGAAAAATGCCTTTATTGCCTCAAACACTCCCCAAGTGACTAAAGGTTACCCAATTCAAGAGTGTGCATCCATGGCGTTGGAGGATAGCACAGCCGGTAGGGCGTTTGCCTTACAAGTGGCCACCCGATTTCCGGCATCCCATATGGTCCCGAGTACCACCAGGAGTAATTCCTAAGTGCATGAGCCAGAAGTAACCCCTGAGCGTCGCCAGGTGTGATGAAAAAAGAAAAAAACAAAACAAAACAAAGAGTGTGCATCCATCTAGCAGACATTTCCCTCCCCAACACTTCCTAGTACATACCCTGCGGGCCAGCAGCAGACCAGTACAATACGCTGCAGCGTAATTTGTCAAGCCAACCTTCACACCATACTTTGGAAGTTCATGAGCATATGCTGCACAAACTATCATGTCTCCTTCTATACGAGCATAAGCAATCTGTAAGAAAAAAAAAAGAGTAATCTGTTTTCACTGATAACTGTAAATTTCTGAATGTTTTACGACCAAAAACTCATTCATTCACTTTTCTTCCTATAAATGTCTACTTAAACACACTGCATACAGTAACTTATCTACTTAGCTCCCTAACTTAAGACTTACTATTCTATTTTAATCTAAGTGGCAAAAAAAAAAAAAGACAGGACATAAAGGACTTGGTTCAAAATTTATTCTATTGTTCTTTTGAAACTGGGATGGGTAAGCTTCTAGATGACTGGTGTCAAACTTAACCCACCCCATCAGGCCCTACAAAATAACATGTCACCCTGTTTCTTTACTCCCTCCCTCTTCCAATTAGAAAACACACAGCACTTAAGTAGGTCAAGACTGCCAAGCAAGCATCATTAGTTCAAGTGAGCCCAGGCACACTGGACCAACATCTGGATGTGTTGTTTCCCAAGTTCTTACCCAGCAGTGAATTAAGGTTTGCCACACGAACAGAAAACAGCTTACCTGGCAAATGATATCCCTGTTGGTGACACGGACGATCATCCTGTATTTTGGTGTATTGTATTTATTTTTATCCTGGATAACCAAGCGTTTCCGAGCATAGTAATCGGTCTTGCCCTCTGCAGAAAAGAAAAGAGTTTAAGACAGTTTTTCAACAGTTTAGTAGATTCTTTACCATGCTGTCAACTGAAAAACTGACCATACCTCGCCGTCTTCGAAATTTCACTTGGTATCTCTTGAAGTACGCCTTATTCTTGACAACTTTAACAAAACCCTGGAAGGAGGAAGGAATTAAAAAAAAAAAAGTTTACCACTTTGGTGTTTAAACCCAAAATACTTTTGCCATTTGAGTTAAAAAAAAAAAAAAAAGTTAACACTTCAAACTGGCTAGAAACCCCAGTCAACTTTAGTCAGGTCAAAATTGTCATCTTTCAAGACAATTTTGCAAATGAAAATGAATTGGAGGTGGGGGAGGGTGAGAAGTGTGTGGGGGGGGGGAGAGAACCCACAAGACCGGAAGTGCAGGAAATCGGCAGCGTGACAACTCTGGTTCCCACCGCTCCCGCCAATCTCCCACCCTGCGGCCCACCAAGTCTGACAGCACCAGTGCGGACAGTCCACGCTGACACGTGTCGCATCCTAACGCCCGGCGTCCGCGTTCCCAATTGCTCCGTGTGACTCCGAGAGCATCGGCCAAGCAGCCACTGCCCAGGCCCTCCCCAATTCCCCTATGTCCTTTAATCGGCGCCCCCCGAGAAGCGCGCGCGGGGCCGGCTTCCGTGCGGGGAGCCCCGACACTCCCCTTTCCGAGCTCAGACGCCCCTGGATCTCATTCGTCCCTTCCCGGACCCGAACACACAGACTTCCAAGAGACGGCGTCGGCCGCGAGGTCCCCCCGCACCCCGGTTCGAGTTTCCACCCCGCCATCCTCCCAACTCCTATCCCCAAGGCCACCGGCGCCGCCAGCCGCGTGTCGGGCCCGGTCGGGGGAGCCGGCACCAGCGCCCCCAGCCCGCTGGCCCAGCGCGGGGCCTCGGCCGGCCCCGCCCCTCCCCCCGCTGGGGTTCGCCTGCCGGGCGGCAGCCATTAAGGCCACGCTGGGAGCGGCAGCCCGACAAGCGCGCAGCCCGCAATCGAATGCCATCCGAACCCCGCGTCGCCCGGGCCGGGCCCCCAGCTGACGTCCGGGCAAGGGCAGGGAACCCCCCGTGCATCAGTGACCCGGAGAGCGAGATCCGCACTCACCATCCTGCGG